ATGCCTGTGATCTGGTGTATCACGACAAGGAGCATTTATGCGAACTAATTTTGCTCTTTCACCGACGTCATATTTTTTTTCCACAAAAATATTTCATACATTTTAACACATGTTTACCCGCATGTCAGCATACCGATAGTATTGGTTTTGTGAATTATGTAAATGAAATCTGTTGAAATATTTAAAATCATACATACAAATTCACATTTTGTACACAAACGAAACAGACTTAAATACGAGGAGATATATCCCTTTATGACGAAACCAGATCCCACACCGCTCCTCGTATCACACCGACACTATGCTGAGCTAATATCCGACTCATTAAAACGGATAAAGAGTGAAAAATGAATCTTATGGGTAATATCGAGATATCTACAATTTTCTCTCCAATCAAATCCCAAAACACGTCTTTGTAAAGTAACACGTTCTGAAACCAACATGGTACATTTTATGGGGTTGTCTCAGCTATATGAACGGAATCACATTTCATGATCTCCGTGTCGCTGCGCGTGGACTGTATTATTAGACACATTGTCTTAGAAGAAAATGTTATCCAATTTTACTATTACTATGATTTGATCCATTGCTGGTGGTCTTTGCAATGACATTCAACTAATCAATTAAATTTTTAAACATAATTTTAATTTACTTTAATGAAAGACAAATTTCTCCAAAAGTGTGTCTCGATCGTGGGATGAGTACACCATACAAATGAATGCAGTGTTCTACTATGGCGATCACGACATGACAGACACCATGCTGAATTAGCAACATCGTATTTACTAACAAGAGCAAATGTTCATGCGGAATGTTACAATTTTAATGCTTGTAATGTTTTCTCAAAATAGTCCCCTCAAAGTGGGCAAAAAATATTTACACTTCCAGAAGGGTTGAGAGTAATTATCAATGAAACAGTTTATATCTGAACAGACTTAGGAATGTGTTAAAACGGAATTCATATTTGGTGTTTTTCTTTTGAAAATATGAACTGAGCTATCGTCCAGACTTCACAGCATGATACCAAAACCTTGACATGTTTAGAATTTTATATGTTTAAGTACTGAACATGTTTAGAAAGAAATATGTTTAAACATGTTACACCCCCAGTTGCAACCTATTAGCAGTCTAGTCTGTCCGCATTTTATGTTCAAAACAGTACATTCGTCTTCCACATACAGTTATAGATAGGGGTCACATATCCTTCAGGCTCTGAGTTGGTGACAATTCCAAGGTTCTGTGGACAATTCTAAGGTTCAAAGCAGCATAGGCTTATTGAATATTTTCTTACAGTTTGTGAGTTCTCTTTCTACTAGTATTTTTTTGCATTGTTGAGAACATGTGTATTCAATAAGACAATTGGAAGAGAAAACAAATCTCACATTTAAGTTCTCATTTTGTATTATTTACTTTATCAAGGTTTATGATAATAAACGACAAAAAGATGCTCCACAGCAATGTTGTATTAACACATGTGTTAGAATGAAGTGTCGCCACTGCACTGTAGCCCACACACTCAGTGGTCGGATTCAGCGTACAACACATAATTGTATTTGTACAGCAGTTTCACAGTTACAGGTACATATTGTGAAAAAATTTATTGATAATTTTAACGGTTCGAACAGAAGAGCTTATGTTCCAAAAACGATCAGACCCTGATAGCGAGCAGGGTGTCTTCCATACTAGACAAATAATGCCAGAGGGTGTGTTGACATTGGTGCGATCAAAATACCCACACTGGATAAATGGGCCATACATGGGACACAAGTGGTGGGAGACAATTTTCTTATTTCTCTCTCATAAATAACATACATAATGTATATATATTTTATTACGGACATTGTTTCTAAGGCTGCAATGGTTTTCTTTTGGTAATAACAGTAATGCAATTCTGATTATAGCAATACCGTATCCCTATTAGTTGTGCATGTGTTTTGATTACAGTAAGATAACAATAAGGACATGTTTGTGACCCCCGCAATATCTAAAATTTGACATCGATTTTCTTCCTCTACTGTGGAAGATATGGCGGTTTCAAAATGTTAACTTGTTTGAATACGCTTACATTTAATCACGTTCAAAATGTACACATGATTATCGACTGTTCAAATTGTAATTGTGTACGATGAATGCATATTAAACATGTTAAAATAAAGGCCATGTCGTGCAATAAGTTAACTATGTGTGGCCATGTCGTGCACTAAGTCAACTATGTGTGTGCGTGCGTGTGTGCGTGCGTGTATTTACGTACCGATGCAATTCCTTTGGTCTATATGTGTATGCGAGTCCCGTGGGGTCCTTGGCATAACATAGGTACCCAGTAATGTTTACTGGTCAGCTAAAACCAACATACATGATGCGGATGTCCCTGCTGATTGACGGACATTCTTATAAAATGGAAACACAGGCATCGTAAATATGCTGCAATTCTACGGAAATGAGTGATCGTTAGCGTTTAGTCGTGGTTATGTGCACACATCAGAGGAAGATATGTGTATCCACTCACATTAACTCACATAAACCCGCACACAGATACACACATATGCGTGCGTGCATGCAAACACACATACGCACATACGCACACACATACATACATACATACATACATACATACATACATACATACATACATACATACATACATACATACATACATACATACATACATACATACATACATACATACATACATACATACATACATACATACATGCATGATCTCAATATGTCTGTATGTGACATCACGTCAACCAAGGTGTCCACAATTCTGTAGATCCAAACTTACTCGCATTTTTCGTCATGTGCAAAATAAACGAAATAATTGAGCTAATAAGGACAAACTTTATGGACGAACATCTTCTTTATTCAGGTGTTGCGACGTTTCGATACAGATACTTGTATCGTTGTCAAGCAGGTATTAGGCCGAGCGGGACAAACTTTATTCGATACAACGATACAAGAATCCGGATCGCAACGTCACATCACCTAAATAAAGAAAAAGCTCATTCATAAAGTTTGTCCTTATCTGACTCTACACCTTGCTGGCAAAAAAAACCCAAAAACAACAACCAAAACAAAAACAAAACAAAACCAACAAAACAAACAAAACAAAACAACAACAAAAAAGCCCCTCAAAGAAATTTGAGCTTATGACCTTGTTACAAGCTTAATTGGAGGATGAGGATGAGGATGAGGACGATGATTTTGAGATTTAACGCGCGCTTTCCTACATAATGCTTATTTCACACAAGGACCCACCAGGCCATTTAGTGTGTGATCGAACGAGGGTTGATTTGACAGAAACATATGGCAATCTAAAGGGGGCGTTGGGGTTGCATAATTACATTTTTGTATGAATTTTGAATTTTTAAATTTGACAGAAGTGGTAGGGCGACAAGAGTGGGGATAGAGTTTAAAATCAACGCAGACATCACGGATTTACAGAACGAGATGTTTGGTTGGGAGTATAGCTTCACAGACATCTATACTAATCGTGGCCCTTCTTGCAGACAAATTACATGTCTGGGGCACAGTAATACATAGGTACCAGCCTCCAGAAAATTCCACAAATCGGGTGTCAGAGCTACTTGCCCCGCATGGCCTAAATGCCGATAATATTGCAGCTGCCGTTAACATGTTCACAAATTAGCGACGGGACTGATTCGGAATTTATCACTTCCGAGAGGCAGTGCCGCCTCGGAATTCTCCTGTGTCCGGGAACTTCCTAATTTCCTCATGCTGCCATTATGTTGAAGGCGAACACACGTGAATACCGGAGACACACGTGTGAATCAGCTCTAGCGTGCAAAACATGTTCACACCTTACTTGGTGTTAAGGCTGAGTCTTGTTGTCGTACACTGACATGTCTGGCGGAAGTCAAATTTAACAATACAAGACTGGTAAAATAGTGTTGATCGCGTTAATACCGATTACGTATTACAGAATAATTGAGAGAGAGAAATGAAATGCATAATCTTCATTTTGGCTGATGAGGCTTATTGATATCGGTTAAAACTGGTTTGTTCATTGTTAGAGTGAACTTTCAAATTTGTAACTTGTACAAATATTTCTTTCCGTTTTGATGTTAACATTGAGAAACATTTGCTGAACTAATTTAGTTAGCATGTTGACTGTTTTCTATTTATTTATTTCCATTCAGTTTTCTTTTCACAGAACACTACTTAAACTTAGTGTAATTTATTGTTTAAATGTCTATACATTTGTTCTGAAATATATATATTGTTTAAATTATGCACACACAATAATATAACAGGAGTGAAGGATGAACCCAGAAAAACCCATCCTGGAAAAATTCTAACGGTACAAAGTTCAAATTGAATCACGGTGTATCAACTTAATGCTGACATACATCAAGGTTCAAAACAAAGTATTTCACCTCCTAATTATCTACGAAGTATCTACATGTATAAAGTAATTGTCTTATACAATTCCATGTAAGAACTTTTCAGGAAACGTTAACGCGGAGCTTCTTGCCTTGCCTGACCGAGGACTGTCTGTCTGCGATGAAGAAACTAACGCATGGAGATTTGGGGAAATCGATCGCAAATTAAATAAGTCACGAGCGTTCAAAACACGAACCAATCAGATTGCTGCTAGAGCTAATTAATATCAACAAATATAACCATCGCCGCGACAATACTGTCTTGCCGGAAACAAGCACCAGGGGGCGCGACTATAATAATACGGACCGAGTCGGATCGGACCAAACCCGTCAATACCAGAGCTGGGACGGGACTACTCGTGGCTACTCTGACGCTTGGACCTCGAGTTGAAGAAACCGGGTAACAGGCTTGCTGTAGAGACCTTCTGACTGACGACAAGGAGCCAAGGCAAGAGACATTTAAGTTGGGGTTCCACGAGGCTGAGACAGGGAAGGACTTAGGTTGAGGACAGTGTCATCGTTGCGTCTTTTGGTGCCAAGTAGTTGTTAATCAGTGGGCATCAACTGGGACGGCATCCAACAGCAGACACGTCATCCTTCGAGGACAACGACTTTGGCAACAACTGAGACTTTGCGTTCACTCACATAAATATTGAACCATCTCAACGGAAGAGTTTCAGGATGGTTTGACACAAGAGGAGCTCAAATATTTCTATCAGCTGAACTTCTAGACATGGCTACTTGATTGTTAACTTGTCGACATTCTATAAGACAAATGAGAGCCTCACCGTTCGAACCCCACCCCCACAGGTGAGTGAAGTTTATTCATCATCAATTTAGTTTGCTCTTGTGTTCAAATTTAACTTAATTTCGTAAACTAGTCGTTGTTAACTGCCGTTCTGTAGCTGTAGTGTTTCTGTCGGAGTTATTAAAGCTAGCTTTATTCCTTATGACATTTAAGTTGACTGTCCTTTCATATTGATTAAATCTAAACAACATACTGTGAAATTTGCGTAAACATCCACTGTTTGTATTATGTTGGTGTGTCAGAAAACAGAAATGGGTTTAACTGAGGAATATGTATTAGAAGGTTGTCTAAGTGAAACGCAAATATTATGGATGACAACTTCTTCTTTATTGTATGTCAAGCGGTTACAAACTCGGAGTCTATGTGATCATGAGATGTTCCTTGTAATCTGCCTGGATGTTTTGTAGGTTGTGGACAGTTTTATCAGGTGATCTGATTTAATTTGAGTCTATTTGATCATGAGATGTTATAACGTGTCAGTGTGTTTTGCGGCCAGTGTTCAGTTTAATCAGGTGATCTGATTTAATTTGAGTGTTTGTGATCATGAGATGTTCCTTATAATCTGCCAGTGTGTTTTGCGGGCAGTGGACAGTTTAATCAGCTGATCTGGCTTCATGTGTTAACTTTCAACCAAACTTTCCCCAGTTCATAAGAGTGCATTATACCACACCGGAATATTAAGATATTACAACTTATTATTAAGTCTCCAAAATCAAGATACCGGCTTTATTGTATCCACTTACTGCATGTGAACTGTCGGGGGGAAAGGTAGATTTTAAAAAATTGGATTTAACAAAACAGTTAAGCTGAACATAGTCGACGAAACACTGTAAACTTAAGGTCCTAACAGAACTAATATACCCGTGTGAAATACATGAACATCGATTGACCAATTCTTGTATGTTTAATGTTTTAGCTAAACATTGGCATATACTGACTTTTGCCCTGCAGTTTAACGTTTTGGAATAACGACAATTTAATAAATTCTCTTAGCACTACATCGAAACTGGTTATGGCATATAAACCTCTTCTTGACTCAGCCATATACATTTTCATAGATGTCTGAATGTGTCTTATATGACAAGCATAATTGTCAGGCATTATTGTCAGGCGTGATTGTCAGGTAAAATTGTCAGGCATAACTGAACATGTCACTGGGGGGCCTCCATGCACATTGCAGGAAAAACGTTGTTCTATGAACTGATTTAACGTTCCGACATGACTTGTTACGAGACAAACCACATTGAACGGTCAGATTTAAGACTTGATGAATTCGTAACTATTGTCTCAATAAATGGCCGAAATATTTACACACATCCACGAACATAAGTACATGATACTGTTTAAGTACATACAATGTACATGAATAAATATACATACTACTCAGTACACAGTGCCTTGGAACCTAAACCAGAGTTACAGTAGCTGATATTTGTGTATGATAATTCGTGAAAAGTCATATTAATATGATTACGAATATATCAATGATTTCACAATAATTATGATGGACTTTATGACATTAAGCATTTGACATTGATAGATTTATCAGATGTTTACTTTTTGTTACTTGTTATTTATTTAGGGTATTGATAACTGCGTCACCTATAATAAGGACGATGATGGCAACGATTTGAACAAAACTGGATCCTAATATTAACCTTTCAGAAACTGTTTAGAACTGAAAACAATAAAATCCATTTCTGCATCTCCATGAAATGTCACGATTATTAATATAAAATAAATTGGTATTTTTGCTTGTCTCTTTGTCAGAATATATCCACCCCAAGCTTTGTGTTGTTTGTGACAAAAAATATGAATCCTCCTTAATCAAGATTAACGATTTTTTTAGATTATTTATTAAAAACAAAACAAGACCGCATCCCATCTCATGAGAATTATTACTGTTTAAAATCTCTTTATGTCTAATCACAAGATGATAAATGAAGAGAACGCATTTTATCTTCTTACAATTTATTAGGAGAATAGATTTGTGTTTGTTTGCAAAAAACCGCCATGTTCAGCAATATTCAAGGAGCATGACGACGGTAAAATAACCGATTCTGGGCCAGATAAACGTGTGACTGGCAACATGAGCATCGATCTGCGCAACTAGAATAAGATGACATGTCTGCGAGGTCTGCGAGCCTAACCACTCGATCCCGTTAGTCGTCTATTTCTGATAGTTGATAATGTACCCACATTTCGGAAAACTGTTTGAAAAGCATCCGACGTTGAAAGTGAAAACGTCTTCCTAATTCCTCATACACAAACATATAATTATCCGTACAATATAGTTATTGTTGCAATGATTTAAAAGGTTTGAAATTGCCACTAAGGCTTTAGTCAGCATGTTCTAAGGATCACTAATCACAGAGCACTGCACAGGGCTCCAATCTCAGGTTATTCGATGCACGTGCGCGAACAAAGGTGTGTTACTTCTACCTGTAATTGGAGTCGCCTTGACAGGTGCGGGGGTGTGGGTCAGGTGTTAATTGCAGGTACACGAGACATCGACGTGGAGAGATGGAATTATTGCCAACAGATACAAAGGTGTCATCGCCGATATCTCAGCACGATCAGCGGTTTATAACATGCAAACAATTGATTCTATATATGTCATGGCATATGCAGTTATGTCTGACGTTCGCACTGGAAATAATCAGAAAATCTCATTATCTACAAAAATACTGTTCACAATGTAATGTGACAATTGAACAAAACGTAGCAGCAAAAGAGGCAAGCATTTATTACAAAAGAATTTATAAAATAAGTCCATCTGATACAAACACTTTGACTCAGTATAGACGCAGAAACCAACTGCACATAGAACGGTATAGTAATAGTTAATATCTTTTAATTAGAATATAAGATTTATATTCCGAAAAGAATCAGATCTCAGGTAAAGTCCTAACTGTAGTTTCATATCAGTCAAGACATGACTTTAAGACGTAGTTTTGTGGTTTCATGAAACAACGAAACTTCGTTAATACGAAAGCCCAATTATTTGGAAGAAACTTATGACAAGTCAGTACATATTAACGGGACACATAATGAATGCATAATTCTGTATTTTTTAATTAACTCGAATTGCATATTTTATTATATGAAATAAATTTATTTTGTCAATGGATTCACTGTGCCTCGTGAGGAGTGTCTACACTCCTGGTATTTTGCCATAAACTTAAAAGTTCACCGTAACACTTTCCAGCAACTTAGGAAAGAAGCATGATGATTTACTTGTCTGTAATTATCAGTGCATTTCTATAGATTTGTATTGTATATTCAAACAAAAATGCTACAGTTAAGACCAAAATGTATACGTTCTTAGCAAGGAACGAAGTCATAAAGAATATTATGATAGAATGATATTGCTGGAATATTGCAAAAAGCGGCGTAAAACTAACTAACTAACTAACTCATAGAGGATACAGGTTATCTCAAGCAGTAATCTGGTGTGAAATATAAAACGTCAATGCAGTAAAATTAAATAGCCTTCAAGCAGATTGCACTTGGCTTTGACGGCAAACCATATAGCAGTGACAGTTACATAATGAACCACTGAAATCAGTGGTGAAACCAGGCGTAGGCGAATAGGATATAGTGCCAAAATCATGACATTTTCAAAAAGTGATAGGTCGAAGACAATGATCTTTTGTGTTATGTGTTCAAACAAATTAATTTATTACACATCGTGAGAACAATGTTCTGGCTTCCATGTGTAATACACCGCATACTCTATACCCATGTAATAAATGATGAAACATGGACATTGTTGATTATGATGAGAGTATTATCAGCGATGAATACTGAAACTTATTGCTTTTAAGGAAAGCGTCCAACCTACAACAGAAGCATTATATTATGTTACACATGTACACAGTCACAAATATATTTTGCTTTAAAACAATATTTCTGCTGCACACACACACACACACACACACATACACGCACGCACGCACGCACGCACGCACGCACGCACGCACACACACATAATATTACATTAGATATATTATTATATATAGTCAACATTTAACATCCCACAGGTTACATGTTCTAAACATGATCAATTGGGACAATGTGGAACGTCATCATTTTGTTTGAATGTATACAGATATGTGGACCACGCCACGACATTATCTAAATAACAATATGACTTTCATAAATCTGAAAAGCTCTATTCAGATTTCGCAAATTATGCTTATTCGTTTCATTTACTTGTTTTCGTTCTTGCAAAGAACTGAGACTGACCCTCTCTTGTAATTATCTTCTATTTACACTACATAACTGATATCTAGCTATCTAGTTCTAAAGCCACACATTTCCCTCAGAAGAATCTGCGGTTTCATTAACTTGATGTTGGAATTTGCATTCAACAAGAAAGAACTGCTCCCTCTTACAATTTTATTCATATTAGCTTATACAAACCGTTACACAACTCATATAAATCTGCGATAATACTAGGCCATAGAAATCAATTCAGATTGTCATCGGCTCTCTGTTCCGCGTCCCCAAACACGGCTTATTGAATTGATCGTGCGTTTAATCAAAGGAAAGGCGATCTATGCTAACCAGATTACGGGGCAGTAGAGGGATTATTACCATCATGAGCAAAAGCTAGTTTGTCAGTGGAGAGACGCTGTGTCCAAGTTTTAGGACGGGTCAATTTAGTGAGAGTGCAAATTAATTACGTCGTGTGAAGTTAAATGTAGTTGTGATATATTCCATGAAAGGACGCGACAGTGAAACGTTATTTTGTGTAGGTTGGTTCAATGATATGTAAAGGACGCGACATAGCACTATCTTTTTCCTGTAGGGAGGTTTGTGATATGTGAGGGATATACGAGCCCACCAATATTTTTCTGAAGATGGAAGCGACTAACAGGATCGGGTGGTCCGACCATGACTTGGTTGACACCGTAGCCAAGTTGCGTAGATCGATACTCATGCTGTTGATCACTGGATTGTCTGGTCCAGACTCGATTATTTACAGACCGCCGCCATA